TAAATCATAATATGCCCTATTGTGAAGAACGATTATTACTTTATTGCTGTAAAACTTTGGGGGCCACAGCTTGGGCTGCGTTTGATTAAGAGGGATTTACTTGTAAAAATCGTAGGATTGCATGAGTTTGGCAACCTACTGTACTTACCTCGCAGAATTAATACATGGTAGCTAACAAACGCTTGCTCCGCAGACGACAAAACGGACTTTTACAGGAGTTCGTCGTTCAAGTTCCTTTATTGTTTTATGCATATTACCAGGGTTAGCGTTACATTTTCCAATGAAGTTTAACACCAAGATCTGCTCCATGCTTAGGTCAAGAGAATCAAATCTGGAGGTATAGGTTCGCCGCTCAAAAGAGCGCTAGTTATGTTGAATATGGATGGCGAAATCAGAATAGTTTGTAAAATGCATTTTTCCCATCCCCTTATGCATTCAGTTGGGTTCGGTGGTTCTCACCAAAGAAATGTAGCCTTAAGACAGATTCAGCACTTACCTACTCATCTGAGCTATCATTAAACAAAACCCTGGACTCCTAGGAGCATACGAGTTTGTCCAGCACGAGTATTGAATGCCACTCTTGGCCCCAGGTGTTCAGAAAACCGCCGTGAATCTAGCGTCGGAAACGAGAATCTAACAGCAGTTAGAACGCTATTAAGAAAAACTAATAAGTTTAAAAGGATTCTTCTCGGCAATAACTTAAATACTGTTGCAAAATAAAAAAGGCACTTGAAAACTCCTACTGAATAAATCAAGTGCTCATTAGGCAATGCATGAAAATATGCCGTAAAAGGGACATGAATTAGAAAGCAGGAATCACTAGTAAAAAAAGGCGGATATGTGCAAGTGTACAAAGGGACTCTATGGGACTGTCGTCAATGGGGCGCCAGTGAATCAAAATCAATTCCGCATCGGGCAAACCGCTCGATAGTACTTTGTCGGAGAACAAAACGTTTCTTCTGTCCCTTTAGAGGGGATTTTTCACCGTCGTCGGCAACTGTGGAAGGCATACTACGTTTGGAGCCCGATAAGTGGTTCTCGGAAAGTTGGGGCAAATTCAGTGCAGCGACAATGGACGTAGCCGCGCTATCTGAACCGTCTACGCGAATGGTCGTCGTATCCAGACTCTGATGGGTGCTGCTCTTGGGAACGGTGTCGGGCAACAGAGGACAGCGGTTCTCCCGCTCAAAGTCGTCCACCACAGGGAGGGGGAGT